TTCTAATATGAAGCAAAGGTTCGAATAATTCTTAAAGCAGCTGCGATGGCCTCACTTGTTTCCTTATTAACAAAAAATGAGCACCAACATTCCAACAACCACAACTATCATGAATGTATAAAGTAAATAGACGCCACCCATGCTTATTAGTATTATATGTAGAATCCATTAACGTTAACCAACTATAATTAATTAATTTTCTATCTGCCAAATATTTGCAAAACATAGGCCTTGAAAACACATAGGTGATCCTTGCTTTTGAAAAGACTCAACCTGATAATTGTTTTTAAACAAAAATTCATTTGTACTTAAAATATCGGATTGTAAATCTGCACCTCCACAAGATGCGAATTCATCGGACCAACGAGCTTCTGTTTGATATTAGCAACCTCTTTAGTTTTCAAATACTCCACGCCCGAATCTTCATATAGTTTAGAAACTTCTTTTCTAATAATATCTGTGATCGTCGGGGTTTGTAATCCTAAATCATCTCATTACCCACCATATCTTTAATAAATGTTGGGGATGATGCTGAAATCGGATGATGCTGAAATTTTAACTTATTTTATCATGAAAAATTAAAAATTTTTTGGGGGTGTTTGTTTAGCTTTTTCTTCATAGTTCGATTAGAAGTTAGGGTTAGTGTTTATAATAAAAGAGTATAGGTGGATTTTAGTAGGGTTTATATTTTCAAATTAAGACCCCCAAATTTCAGCATCATCCGATTTCAGCATCATCCCCGACAATAAATTTTGATCGTTTACACATATCATTTTCTTCTATTGAGTGGCTATGATCAGGAGTACCACTTACCTACAAATGTTTTTTTTTTTAAAAAAAAAAAAAACTAAAAAACATTACAATAATATTTTGGATCATGTTATTTTTGCTTACCCTTTCAATTCTAACCGTATTTGAGACCGCTAACCATGTTATTCTAATTTTAGCCTCAGAAGACAAATCTACACTACAAATACCTTCTCACAATCAATAGTGGGTTTTTTCAGGTTACACAAAGTTTTTCAGAAGGAATGTTTTCCTTTCTTCTGCTTGATTCTTTAGGCTTTAAAAGCCTACAAACGAAAGTTTTACACTCATCACTATTGTCTAATTTGTATCCATTAAATCTTGTCCAAATATTATTGACAAGAATCCACTGCTTATCAAAGTCTTTGATAGAAAGCTCAAATATTTCATTCACGTTAAAAAAATGTTTTCGGATAGCTAACATGGCTGGCGGCGACCGTGAAGTTATAGTTAACCAAAGTCTATCGTACTGTAAGTTTTTTTTTTGTTTTTTTTTTTTCTTTTTTTTTGTTTTTTTTCTTTACCTTTTTTTTTTTGTTTTATTAATTTGACCGCTTGCAGGGTTTCTTTTTAGCCGGAAGCTGCTTGTTTGCTGTTGTTACAGGATTTTGTTTTTTTTTTAACCAGAACTTGCCACTTCGCTAATTGCAAAATATATAGTATACATTTGCTGCTTGCCAGGTCTTTTAATATCGAATCAAAGTCATTGCTATAAAGATTTATCATTAGCATAAGTTCTCAAACTATTTATTTTTATTTTTATTTATTTTTTTTGTTTATAACACCCAAAACCTACCAGCTTGCCGCAGAATATTTTTAAAGTAATGTTCGCACAGAAAACTTCAAGCCAGTAATTACGGAAGTTTCAAGTGCGTAAGATTTGTTGATGTCCAATAATTAAAAAAAAAATTTGTTGTCTATATCAATCTTGATCAACTGGTCGATTAGATATATTAGTGCATTTATTGACTGTGGTTGGTTGATGGTCAATTGATCTGTATGACCCCCCAGAACATCAGCTCAATAGTTACTCGCTTTAGCGAACCCCTTTTATAGAAAGGTTTGGGGTTTAGTGCGTACTATATCAGGATTATAGATTTATTCAAGTAGTTGAAAATTATTTGGATGAAGTATGTAAACGTGAAGAAGAACTTATACAAGCAGGCACAATCAACTTAAATGATTCTAATAAAGAGAATGCACATTCAAGTATTTAGCTTAGAAATCCATTAAAGGTGATTACTAAAGGCTGACCAAAATTAGCTAACCATTGTAAAGATAAAACAAACCAGCATTTAACAAATCATAATAGTAAGCGAAAGTGTGGTCCGAATCTTTGCAGTTATTGCAAAGAATCAGGCCACAATATTGTTAGGTGTCCTCATAAGTCTATAGACCAAAATTGAATTGTCATGTATATAGCTAAAGTATTAGGCTAAGTTGCAAACTCGTATTATCATGTTATTTTGTTTATTTATAAACGAATCTTTGGTTTTTACTTGAATAAGCCAACACTATTGCAGTTATACTGTAAATTATAATGTTTGTAACTGGTTACAGCATAATTTGTAATAGTTCTGGCATAGTTGTCCTGATTGTTTTGATTGCAAATTGTGTTACTTACTTTTATTAGCATTAAGTCTATATCACGTATCAGGTTAATTAAGGTTAGAAAAGTCTATATCTATATATCGATATGTTGTGTATTCAATTAATTTGGATTAGGGAAGCCTACATTGATATGTCAATATGTTGTATATCTGATGGATTAGGGTTAGAAAAGCCTATTTTGACTTATGGTTCTTAAGTTAGCATTATGGTAAGAATTAGTATTAGCAAAATTGTTGTTTTTAGTAAATTTGTATATGTATTAAAATTTAAATATTAAGTATATTCTAAAATATATAATATAATTAAATTTATTATATAATATAATCACGTGAGGGGTGCACTGTAGTGCAGGTGCATCAAATTATAAAACCCTTTAAAATATATATATAATTTAAAAACATATTTATTATAATTTAAAAACATATTTATTATAATTTAAAAACATATTTATTATACAGTATTTTAAAAATAAATATTTTAAAAACATATATACTATAATTTAAAATGTATTTATTATATTTTAAAAATATATTTATTATAATTTAAAAATATATATAATTTAAAACATATTTATTATAATTTAAAAACATTTTTAAAACATATACATTATATTTTAAAAACATATTTATTGTTACAGCTGATGCTGAAGTTTGGCTGATGTTGAAGCTAAAAAATCTGATTAGCTAAATTTTGCAGATCACCCTAACCCTAACCAATCAGATTTTTTAGCTTCAACATCAGCCAAACTTCAGCATTAGCTGTCACATTTATTATATTTTAAAAACATATATACTATAATTTTAAAATATATTTATTATAGTTTAAAAACATATTTATTACTAAATCAATATATATCAAAAATAAACCACACAATAAAATAATTTATATATTAACTAAATTAAAAGAACAATTTAATTTTATTTTATAATTTTATTTAATTTATTGTATAACAAATAATACATTATATATATATTCAAAATCTACCTTATTTTCTAACCCTAAATATCATTACTAACCCTAATCTTTAAACTAATCTAATATTCATCCTCAAAACATCCAACTTATATTTCCATTCTTTACAACTCCAATTCTTTCATCATACTTTCAGCATACTCCATCTCTACAGATATTGATAATAAGCAAATGCATTATATTTATCCTTCTCAACTCTAATTTCTTTACTGTAATAATATCCAATATTAAATATTTTACAAGCTGTCCTGTCTCTGCAGGCTTATTTATGTTCATCCTTTTCAACTTCAATATTATATATTCTACTTGCATGCTTATCTCTGCAGATTTGATAAGTGCATTATTTCTTCATCATAACAATATCTAACTTTAAATACCTTAGAGACTTAGATAACTGATAATAAGTAAATGCATTACATTCATCCTTTTTAATTCCAATCCCATTAAGCATTCCACTATTGTGTTCTATCCCTGCAGATTTTTGAGTGAATGCCTTGTGTTAATCCTTTTCAACTCAATTTCTTTTTAATAACATCAATGTTAGATGTTCCACATAACTTTGTGAAAAAAATCAATGCAAAACGTCATATAAGACCATTTAAAGTGAAATGACAAAGAGAAAATTTGAAAAGAACTATTTAGTAGCAAGCAAAAAAATAATTTTTCATTTCAGATTCCAGATGCTTATTTTCAAGTTAGCAAATTAAAGCATACAAAACTAAAAAGGTTCAAGAAAACCAAAAGAAAAAAAAATATGCTCACCAATAAAAAGTGACTCACAAAAAAATGCCCAATAGAGATGGCCAAGGTTAATGAAATCGAGAGATTCCAAAGAAAAAAGTGAAAATCATGCTCACTAATAAACAACAACTCAACAAGATAATATCGAATAAGACGATACTATAAAAAAAATTTTATAAAAAAAAATTGTATAAAAAAAAATAATAAATAAATAAAAACATACAATGCAAGAGAATGCTAACAAACATGTGACACATAATCCGAAGGTTAGTTGGATTAGTGTTACTATAGTTCAATAGTGTAGCAATCTTTCAGTAATAATATACTATAAATTGTGAGTTGAGAGAAATTGAATTATTCTTAGGTAATTGAAAAATAAAGCGAAGTCACAAGTATAAAATTAAAAATAGAAATTAGGCTATACAAAATTAATTTTTTGGTTTTTCATAACATTAAATTTTAAAAATAACCTGACCTGCCAGCTTTTTTTTTATTTGAAACCCACCCAGCTATTAAAACATATAAAAAATTTTTCTTCAAAAGTTTTAAAATTTTGACCTGGCCAGGTTATGAGAAACAATTAATTAAATTTGTATAGTCTTAGTCTTTGTTTTTGTAACAATCAATTAAAACACATAATAAAGAAATACTTCCTTATTTTTCCTGGATACAATGGCAAACCTGTCTAATTCTCCTCTTTAGAAGGTTTATTATGAGTAAAATAGGAATTGGTAACCGATTAAATGTAGTATATAGTAAATAATTTTGAAGTAGTTGCTGCTAATTCATAATAAATGATATTGCAACCAAGAGATTAAAACTTAAGGTTGTTATGATAAATAATTGTTATATAAGATCATTAAACATGGCTGCGGCTAAAAATAAAGATCTTGGTTAGAATTTGAATGACTATTAATGGATAATTGTTGGATAAAGTAAATGCAAATCTAATAGAAAAAATCAAAGATTTTAGGTTGATTCTTGTAACTAGAACATCATATACAAATGATTAAAAACTTAAAAGGAAGTAACAATTATGAATAGAATCTCATACTCCTGAAATTGATTGTCACAAATCATAATGAAATCAGATTAAAATGAAATGAGGGTTTCTATTTGACCCTCTAAAACTTATTTATACTTGTTTATTATAAAATCTTCCTCTAAACCCTAATCCTAACAATTTGTATTTTTCAGTGGCTTGTCTATTTTACACTATCACTTATTTCATTTTAATCTGATTTCATTTTAATCTGCCATATTAATTATCATCATAGCATTACAAGGTTGTGAACTATTGAACCTAGTAGTACAATAGATGTTAAATCTGAGAGAAGGGTTTACTGTGGCTCTGAAATAATGTACTTCTAAAACTCTCATCCCAAAAATCTTTTAGATCGATTAAATCAATAAAATTGAGTAAATATCCACTTAAGAATGATCTAATAAAAATAAGTAAATATTTTAGTCATCTATTTTCTCTATTATGTTTCTACTTTAAAAAGACATATAAAGAGTTTGTGAAATAGAATAACTCAATTGAATTTGATACTTTGAAGTTACAGAATGTTTCACCTCTATAGCTATCAAATCCTAACCAGTTCGAATCGAGAGAAGTATCAAAATTGTCCAACAAAGCTATTTGAGAATTACGATTAAATCTACATAGTTTTAATGTTGTCAATGCTAGTAAAAAAATATCAAGTTAAGTCACCTAATCCAATTTCTTGGTTTCATGAACAAAGCTGATTACCGGATTTAATAAAAGTATATTCAATTTAATAATAAACAAAAAAAGTTAGCTTTTGCAAGCAAAGAAAATAAAACATAGTCATGTATGTCATATCTGAGTTATAATTAATTGTTTATCGAATTGAGTTAAACTCTTTTTGACTATTGTAAAAGGCTCTGTTTCTTATTATTGTTTATGTTATTGTCCTTTTTAATAAAACTCGAACAAAGAAATGTTAGTTTAGCTGGTGTAAAAAAAAAAAAAATTGTCACTGTAGTTAGCAAAACATGAATTTAGTAAAATACAGTCAAACCTTTCTATAATCACACCCGTGGTTTTAGAAATTTGGTACTTATAGAGAGGTTGTA